CTAAGATAGAAGATATTTTAAGTATTTTTTATAGCCAAAAAGCACTGTGACTAATCATATTCCTCAATCTCTCCATTGCAGTTCCCCGCATCCAGCCCCAAGGCAACCCCAACCACCTGCAACAGCAGCAGCAACTGCAGCAGAAGCTAGCGCAGCTGCATCACTACAGCCAGCAGAAGCTGAGCGTCGGTGACTTTCCCTACGGGCCACGCCCCCCAACCGGAGGCAAGGAGGAGTCGCTGCTCCTGTTAGCCCCGCCAACCAAACTTTACCCGGAGGCGACAGCAATGCCCGAGGTCCTCAGCGGAACACCCACCAATAGCCACAACAAAGCCAACATCGCCATGATGAACAACGTCAGGCTGTCCAATATATCTCCGACCCTGTCGATGAACGGCAGCTCCAACGAAGCTTCAAATTGTAAGTACACACTTTCGGAACCCATTATCAAATAACATAATATCCAAATATCATACACTAGTTCGAAAATTATAATTATTTTTATATATCAATGATATTATATTAAACAAATTGACTATCATTCCTTTTATATCATCACTTCGTACCATCATCATATCTATTATAACTACCCTTCAACTAACCTCGCCATTTTCTTTTCTTCCAGTGCATCCTTTGTCCATGTACGGAGGATCCATCAGTCCACAGTCCAATGACAGCGGCATGTCCGACAGTCTGGGCAAGTTTATCCCGGGCAGCGGCTATGGCGATGGGATGATGGGTCAGTCCCCCTCCCAGGGCGGCAATGGACCCCAATCGGCTTTGACCGCCGCCCAGAAAGAGCTCTTCTCGCAGCGCAAGCAACGGGAATTCACGCCGGACAACAAAAAGGACGAGAGCTACTGGGATCGCCGGAGACGGAACAATGAGGCGGCCAAGAGGAGCAGGGAGAAGAGGCGCTACAACGATATGGTTCTGGAGCAGCGCGTCATCGAGCTGACCAAGGAGAACCATGTGCTGAAGGCCCAACTGGACGCCATCCGGGACAAGTTCAACATCTCCGGCGAGAATCTGGTGAGCGTGGAGAAGATCCTGGCCTCGCTTCCCACCAGTGAGCAGGTGCTGAGCAACACAAAGCGCGCCAAGATGAGCGGTGGAAGTGGAGGCTCCTCCTCGGGATCCTCGCCCTCGGGCAGTGGATCGGGTGAGGGATCCCCACCCGGTGGACACAATGGCTACCCAGTGGGTCCCCCACTTTCACCGCTGATCTACGGACCCAATGGCAATGCCCGGCCAGAGGCCACGGTGAAGAGTGTCCACCACATACAGCACGCCGGAGTTCCGCCGCCGCCCACGCACCTGCAACAGTTGGTGGTGCCCCAGCCCCAGCCGCAGCATCTCTACCAGCCACAGCCGCAGCAGCAGCATCAGCCGCATCCGCAGCAGCTGCCCCAGCCACCACAACAGCAGCAGCAGCAGCAACAGCAGCAGCAGGAGCCCAGTCCCAGTGCCGGCTCCAGCTCGCCAGCCATCTCCGATCCGCACAACCGCCCGCCCAGCAGCAGCACAATTGCCAATCTCCAGGTGCAACTGCAGCAGGCCCTCAACCGCAATGTCAGGCCCGAGGATCTGGACAGTCTGCGCAAGGCGGTGGCCGCCGGAGCTCTGTACAATGCGGCAGCTGTGGTGGGAGCACAACCACCACCGCCACCACCCGCTGGTCTCTATGTGCCCGCCCCCAGCGCCTACAAGGATCACCTGGAGGCGGCCGCTGCCTGGAGTCACAACGTGGAGGCAGCGGTGAGCAGCAGTGCCGTGGATGCGGTGAGCAGCTCATCGGTGGCCGCCAGTGCGGCCAGTGTGCTGAATCTTTCGCGAAGAGCAGCAGCCTGTTCACCCAGCTACGAACACATGCTCTCCTCCACCACCTCCTCCTCCACTCTATCCTCGGCCTCCTCGTCGGGCGCCGTTTCCGGCGATGATGAGCAGGAGCACGAACCGGCGCACCTGGCTCCACTGCAGCTCCAGCGGAGCAGCTCGCAGCAGGGCAGCGATGCCAACAACTGTCTGCCCCTCAAGCTGCGCCACAAGTCCCACCTCGGTGACAAGGATGCGGCAGCCACGGCGCTGCTGTCACTGCAGCACATCAAACAGGAGCCCAACTGCAATAGGTCATCGCCGCCGGCTTGGAACGATGGTGGTGACAACTCCAGCGACGAAAGGGACTCCGGCATCTCCATCGCTAGTGCCGAGTGGACGGCGCAGCTGCAAAGGAAGCTCCTGACGCCCAAGGAGGCCAATGTGGTCTCCAGTGCCGAGCGGGATCAGATGCTCAAGTCGCAGCTGGAGCGCCTGGAGTCCGAGGTGGCCAGCATCAAGATGATCCTGGCGGAGTAACCAAGCCTCAGGAGTTGGAGAAGAGGAGCAGGATCAGGAGAGAGAGTGAAGAGACAGAGACTCTGGAGGGATCAGAGTGAGGGAGCAGGGCAGAGAGTTCCATGGCGCCAGTAGTTGTTCTGGACAAAGAAGCAGTAGTACCAGTAGGGATGTCCAAAACAGAGTGTTAACTATTAGATATCGATGCATGCTTGTCTCCATTTCTATGTATAACTCTAGGGCCAGGTTTCTGCCATAGGCATTCTAGACCCTATGGTTTCAACCTGACCCACATATATGTGTGTACGTTTACCTATCCACTGTATTGAGTCTTGTAATCGTGAATGTTTAACTATATAGATCTCGTCAAACTCGGAGCTAAACAAATCCTTAGGGTCAGTCAGCCCAAAAGAATTTCTTATTTAACCTGTTTATACACACACGCGCTATTTGTTTACATGGCTATTTGGTGGTCACCTCTGAACATTATCGGGGTCACCTTCCAAGCTATTGTTCTCTTATGCATCCCAAGTTTCCTTATGCACAGCGAAAGCGAAGAAAGAAGATATATTATATTTGTAGGCAAACGTTACCAAGTATTTGCTGTTGTACATATTACACAATTAATTATATTTACTCTATATCTCTACATATTCCTATCGTGTACATAATTTTAGTTGCAAGCTAAGCTTATTTTATTTTATTTTAAACTATTGTGTAGTAAAACAAACATATACATTACACTTAAGAGACGCGTAAAGCACATTCAAAACGTGAGAGACGAAAGAAATCTGAAAAGAATTAATGAATATATTCTGCAATAAATAATTTTAAATATCTTACCCTAATGTTTGTCGTTCTCAATTTATTTATTGTTTGCTGCTTTGGTTGCCCGTGTGGGTCACAGCGCTTTAACTAAATGTTATCGAAGTTTAAGAAACTTGAAAAACAAAAACGGAATCACACAAAATACACATATTTGTAGACCATATACCATATAGACGGTAGATCGATTCGAGACGTATTGGTGTCGTAAATCGTAGTCCATGTGAGAGAGCGAGCATTCACTTTTAAAGTTGTATTAATTTTATGCCAATCACTGTATCCATATGCTAAAGCATTACACTTTACACTAAACGCAGTGAAGCACACAAGAAATATACATATGATTATTACTATAACTATGCGTACGCAGCCCCTATCTATATGAATATTTAAATAACTCGTTTGTGTTGATCAATGAAAATAAAACTATTTATAATGATGAAAGAAACTTACAAAGGTCTTTTACTGCTAATTGTTTTAGGGAACTTTTTGCAACTTAGTTGCCGGGCGCCCATGGAAAGTTTACGCTTTCAGCAAATTGTTGGAGATGATTCATAGTATTATCAAAAGAATCAGCGAAACAAATTACAACTGCAACTGTAAATGTGAGGTAACCTATTACAGGGCTTATAGAAAAGATTACATCACCTTTTCACGAGTTGATCACATATTACAGAATGTTCGAGGAAGTTATAGAATTTATAAATGTGGGTAGTAGTGAAATGCGTATTTTGACAACTTACAGAAATCGGTAAAATCGTTCGGTATAAAGGACTTATAACATTGAAGAGTTGCTGAAATTAAGTAAAACATTCTGTTCGAGTGGTAAAGAGATTATTTATTCTTAATGACGTTGTTGTCTTGTATTTATACAACGAAAAAAGTTTTGAAAATTTAAATTTATTTAGAATAATATCGTGTGTATGTCACTAATTTGTTTTTCGTTTTTCGTTTTTCCTTTTATCATTATTCGAAATACAGTATAAGTATAATAATTAAATATTCTCTGTCTTTATAATAAATCCTTAAACATCACATGAAAAGTTTTTCTTGTTGTTGGGTTTTTCTCTTTTATAAGTTTTAAATACTTTCTTTCCGTTCTTTGGTATCATTTTCATATTGAAAACTTGAATATTTTTCGCTTGTTTCGTTAGCCTAGGAAAAACGTATCTAGTCCACAAAAGTTATAGACTTAGATCAAGACCTGTTTATAAATTTCGTTTATATATAGGTAAATATAATAACTTAATAATAGTAAGTACCATATGTTGTGGTTGTTGAGGGTTTGGTATTTGGGGATTCGGTTGTAAATATGTGTAAATACAGAATTTTCTTTGGTTTAAGACGATTTCTCACTTTCTGGTTGTATAAACTCTCCAGCCTTGCCTTGAAGAATAGCGTTCGCGATATTGGTATAGAGGTCTGTATATATCGTTTAACTATATAATATATCGTTTTTCGTTTTTTGTGTGTGTATTTGGTTGTGTTTCTTGTTTTTCGTTTGGTTTGAGAGTGCAACTGTAAATTGTAGGTACTTATAAACTAGCTACAACACAACACATGCCACGCCATGTAAAATTGTAGGGGGTCTCGTGTCAGAATTTTGGTGGCTGAAAAAATCCATCAAAATGCTAAATCTTTTAACTAACTAAGTTTCCTTTGGGTCGTCGTTCCATCCATTCCATTCCATTCTTTCTTTGGCATTATCTAAGAGAGGTCAAGAGTGTATTTCTTTTTGGTTTTGCGTTTTTGGAAAACGTTGATTTGGCCTTAAACTTTTTCTTGGTAGATTTGTTAGCTTCGGTTGGGTTCTGTTTTTCGTGTGGGAGTGTTTGTTTTTCTTTGTCTGTGGTTTGAGTTTTCGTGTAAAAAGGTACATGATAAGATTGTTTCACGACTCATCGATGCCGAACTGGTTGACCCTACGTCGCCTGACCCTGGGTGGAATGGCCACCCAGGGTTAGAGAAGGTGTGGTACTGGTGGATCCCACGGCTGGCACTCCGGATGCGGATGTGCTCTGCTCCATGCTCCACGGATGCACCATGTCGTAGTACCTGCGGTAGTCGTAGTCAAAGAGCTCGAAATCGATGCGATATATCTTGAGCAATTGGTCCAACGTTGAGCGGTCGAGATCGGCGAAGTATCGCTCGACCAGGGCCTCCGATTTAACCCCACTTCGCGCCTGGTTGCCAATCTTGCGCTGCTTTCGCTGCGGCAGCTTTCCCAATCCCAGGAGCAGGGATTCCAGGCCCGCCTGCCGGATTATGAACTCCGAATCCCTCTGGAACGTCTCCGTCTTTCCGATTATGGTGAAGTTGACACTGCAGGGAGTGCAGAAGCTGTAGACGGGAGCCCAGTGCTCATCGAATCTCTTGCCCGCCGCATGCTCGGCGATCAGGAAGCGCACAAACTCCTCGAAGGTGGGTCCACATCTCGGCCAGGGTCCGCCCAGACTGCGCTTCCTGTAGCGATGCACGATCTTGGTGCCCAGGGCCTTGTAGAAGGTGTTCTTGTTGCCCTCCAGCTTGTTCCGATAGGCACTCAGGATCCGCTCGAAAGGATCGCGCACAAAGAGGAAGGACAGCGCACTGGGGAGGAGTTCCATCAGTTCACCGAGTTCCGGGCGGGGGAAGCGCTTTCTCGCCAGCTCCAGTGGTTGCGTCTCCGTCCGCTGGAGGTACTTCACATCGTAGCCAGCTAAAAATATGAAATATATATTATTTGAAGTAAATGATATATTTATAAATTTCATGAAATAATGGTACGTCATGGTACGTCTACATATCTGGTTTCATCTGATAGATGATAAAGGCAATTCGTTTGTTAGACTTACAAACTAAGCAAAATGTTGCAATCAATATTAAAATACTAAAAGCTTTTTCCTTAGACGATCAATCAAAATGCAACGATCTCAGCATTAATAAAATTGTACTAGTAATCATGGGGATAATAAATCAAAATCCGGTATTTAATTGCCGAGGGCGACGTTATTTTAGGTAATAAATTTAAAATGTTTTTCTTTTTTTATTACACATTCTTTATACAAAGTAGTAATATTTTCATTACATTATAAGCTTAACTTCAAAGTTTTATTTACTAAATAAAAAAGGTTTACACCTCTTAAGCTTGCACAATAAATGCCTATTTAACTAAAACTTTGTTCATTCTATCAGTACTTTTTTTAGAAAACCCTGGCTGATAACCAAGGTGCTTGAATCCATAACTCACCCAGTATATTAAAATAATACATCCATGTACTGCTAGCTGCCTTGAAGACGTTGCACCTGAAAGAATCCCAATATAAGGTTAGAATATATATATGATTTCAAGATGATCTAACTAACCAGACGAGATTGTTGTGGCCAGGTGAGACGAAGAACTCCCAGGGATTCGGTGGGTACTTTTCCTGCAGCTTATAGCGATCGCAGACGGCGGCCAGGTGTTCACTCCTCCTTTGCAACTCCCGCTCCGTTCGGCTGTGCAGCTCCTCGGAGTACTCGTAGACGGGATTCAGGGTGCTGGCCGGCGGAGGAGGAGCTGCAGCCAGCGGGGATGAGCTCCCTGCACTGGCATTGCCCCCAGTGGTGGCCTTTCCCTGCTCCTGTTGCTTGGCCAAGATCCTCTGGCGCTGCAACTGCTGTCGCTTGAGTTTGAGCTGCTGCTTTGAGGGTTCCGATTCCGCCTCCAACTCCGCGGCCGTCACCCTTTCCCGGTGCTCGTAGGCATTCAGGGACTCGCGGAAGAGGAAGGCGAAGTAGCACAGGCCCACCAGGACACAGGCACCTATCTTCAGATAGGTCTGCAGACGTCTTCCATAGCGCAGGCGGATGAGCATCTTGCGAATCTACCACGGGATCCTGCAGCGATCTCGCTGCATGTTCCACGGGCTTTCGGCGGGTTTCTAAAAAAGATTATTTAATATAAGATATTATTATGTGTAGTATTTTAGGAAGTCCTTTAAAATGTTTCTAAAAAGCATCTGTGGATTGTACTCATCGATGCTGTTCTATGTTTAATTTTTGGATTTCAGCATCTATTTTTCCCCTAGATCCTTCTCTTCCAAGACATCCCATATATATTAACGTCCAATTTTGATTAATATACAATATAATACAGTTTTTAATATATTGAAATACCATATAAGGAAAAATAAAGGTTCTAGAGTTCTTAACCATCACTATACAAGTGTTATACCTTCTCTGAGTGTACAAAAGTAAGTGAAAGCTTACGGATTCTGTTTTGGATTCTGTTTTGACCAAGTAACTCCCATTAATTTTTCAGCCCCCCTCCTTTTTGGGTGCTTTTGGCCAGGCGACACTTGTTGGTGTGTACACACCAAACGACACACACACCCCTGCAAGCACACAAACAATCAGGCCAACACACACACTCCGAGTTGGCAAACTACGTCATCGTGGCCCCAACACAGACACACTTGAGCGAAAATGAAAAAAAAGCTGGCAACAGCAACACACTCGAAAAGTAGGACGTCATCCTTAAGCGTCAACATGGCCAATGCAATTGCTGTTGCAATAACGCCAGTTGCTGGGTAATGTTGCCATGGGGTCATTCGTGGCCAGGACTGGGAATTGGCCTGGCCGTAACGTATTCACGGCACCTCGGAGACCACTTGAAGGCAGTTAAAGCTGAACTATCTGGTAGTTAACACATCTGTTCGGGAGGTAATCCCTTTATGGATTATGGTAAAACTTACTTTGAAGCGCGGCAGGCGTTAAAATAGATATCCTCTTTTTCTTTATTTTGGGGGAGCTGCCTGTGTATACTGAAAGCCTACGGCTGCCCGCTGCTCTCCTCCAGCCCCCTCCTCACCTGGGGCTCTGTTACGTGTTGCTTGTGGCTCCGGGGAATCCTGCTGCCTGCTCCGCTTCAGCCGTCCTGCTCACGGCGGCCACTCGCTCTCAACTGCCAGTCGGCGGAGCTGCTGGTCCCTGGTGCCTGCTGTTCCAAGCCAGCTCCGCTCTCCTCGGAAGCCGACAATCCTCGCCAGGCGCCGGCGCAGGGAGAGCGCTGTTTGGACCGTGGGAATGCTGCTGCTGGGCACCGGGAAAAATCACAGGACCTTCCGGGGGCCTCTATGTGATCATCAGATGGGGTTTGCATAATAAATTAAAAGTTAAGAAAATAATATATCATTTTAAGCAATAATAATTAGGATTTAAAAATTACTTGAAACCTTTCATAAAGAGGTTTATACCCTTAACTTGCTTCATACACTTTTAAATAAGAGCGATTTAATAATTCCTTATGACAGCTTTATGATATAGTTGTCTGATCCCATACTAAACACTACCCCTAATATAAAAAAGTATGTACAAGTTTTAACTTCCAAGTTAGTTAGCTAGTAAAATATTCGTAAGATAAAATGAAATGTTAATAAAAAAAATACCTTCAAAGAGTTTGTACCATTTACTATCTTCATAAATCTCTCGATAAAATATAATATTATAGTTCCTTAAAACTCCTGTAATATAATATAAAATGTAAAAGTTTTAAAAACCAAAATAGTTACCTAGTAAATATCCTATAAGAAAATCCGTCTTCATCACTGTTATTAAATTCCAATCGCTTTCTGCTCCCAAAAATTCAAAAGCCGTTTGATTTTTATTTTTTGTGTATATTAAATCTTTGTATTTTTTCTTTTTCTATAAATATTTTACTTTAAAGTACAAACAAATTAATAATAAACTTCTAATACTACGTTTTAAGACACTTTCGTTTTTTGTTGTTGTTCATCTTGTGTGGTTTGTTTTAAATATTTAAATATATCTTCTATTTGTTTATGTGTGTTGTTTGTTGCCTGTTTTGTTTACGAAGCGGTATATAAATTATTTATACGTTTTATACAACATTTCCATTAACGTGTTTTGCTGTTTGCTGTGCTTATCGGGCTTATTGCAGTTGCTTGTTGGTTTTGTTGGTTTGCTGTGGCTGTCCGAAGTGTTTAAACGAGGTTTACTAAATATGCTTCAATTTTCGACGCTGCCGTGGCTGGTGTGGTATGCAATTATGGATTCAAGTTCGGGTTCTATATACGTTTAGTTTAGCGGTTCTATATGAATATATGCAAGTTATGCTAGAGGGTTGGGTTTTACATACGCTTATGTTTTGTTTTGCCTTGCTTTAAAGTTTAAAGTAAACATGTACAAAGTATCAAAAGAATTATTTTATGTAGCAATCATACAATATATATAAGGTAATAATAATATTGAACAATATATAATGTTGTTTTGTGTTTTTGTCTAGCGCTTTGCCTTTGCTTTTCTTCAATTACTTTACTCTTTGTTTTCCCCTATTTGTTCAAATAACATTTAGCAAAAATAGAGCCTGCCTTATATACAATACAACTTTTTTGTTTGTGTGGTTTCTTTTTTCACGATATCCCTTTTTCTTGTGTCTTGCATATGCAAAATATATAACATTATATAGTTCTTTCTCACTTTGCAAAACGACAAACACTAGGCGACTGATTCTCAATATTCTCCACTCTTTTCTCGTTATATTTTTTGTATTTTTTTGTTTTTTGTAGGTTTTTGTGTTGTTTTCATTTTTGTTGTGGTGCTTGGCCTTTTTACATTTTTGACTAACTTATTGCATAGGTTTCCATGTGCATATATTGTTGGTAAAGAATTCGCGTTAAGATTACTGTCCTTAGGCTAGAGCATTTAAAACTAAAAAACAAATTTTCGAAACAACGCAAGCTTACGGAAACTAATACGCTATATCTGTATGTACTGTACTGTATATTCATATGTTAAAGGTTACAAAAAACTAGAAAACCTAAAGTAAACGTGCGGTCTGCTCTGATCTGCTCGATCCAACGGACCTGCTTCTTATAGACGACTTTAGACTGGGCGCAGCGCGTAAAAGTAAGACAACCTAAAGCTAGAAATGTGTGTTCATGTTGGATTGTAAAGAATCAAAATATATTTACAGAGCGGTCCATGGAAATACGATTTTTCAAATTAAACTATGCATGCGTGAGAAAGTGTGTTCGCGTGAGGGTTTGGAGATATTTTTTCTTCAGTTATCAGTTTCAGCCATCTATTCTACGTTAGTTTTTATGGGAGCTTCTCAAATACGTTACTCAACTAATTTGTTCAAATTTTCATCTTCTGAGCTATACATTAAATTGCCTGTTTCACTTGACTAGCAAATCATTTCCAATGGGTGGATTTTCTGGGGAACTAAATAGCAGTGGCGAATAAACTCGGACTGGTGGGCAGAAAACAAAGTGTAAATTGGCGCTTGCAACCGTCCGTCTGCGGTATGTGTGTGTGTTGTGTGTGTTAGAGTGTTTCTGGGTGTGATGTTGCTCGCTATGAGACGCAACATTATTGCAACTTGTGGCTACCACTAACTATACAAAATCCTCAACGGAAACTAGGACTAAGAACTACAAACGAAAGCGTTCGGTATCAGTGCGTGTGATATATACAAGTAGCCGTCCGTGCTCCGACTTCACTACGCCAGCTGCGGCGAGCTGCTGCTGGCGGAGCGCTGCTCATCCGCTGTCGTCGCCTCGCTGGCGAACTCCTGGAAACTCAAGCCCAAATCGTTGTTCAGCTGCACGATGTTGAGTACGTCGCCGGCATCGCGCCATGTCGGCTGGTGTTTGGTTGCCATGCCTCCTCCGCCTCTGCCTCCTGCTCCTCCGCTGCCACTGTCGTCCTCCTCACTGAGGATGTTGTTCAGGCACAGGTTGAACTCATCGTAGTCGACAAAGTTGCCGCAGTCCAGGGCCGTGGCATTGGCCAGCTCGGGCATTAGGACCTCGTCCACCTCTACGTCCGCGGCACTGCTGCTGCTGTGGTAGGACAGCAAATGATCGGCCTCCTCCATGTAGCCGCCGGCTGCTCGCGCCAGATTCTCGTATTCGGCCGTCTCATCACCGTCCTCGTCCTGCGCCTGGGCTAAAGGAAAGCTGCTGCTGCTGCTGTTGTTGATCTCCAGCTGTTGCTGCTGCTGCTGCTGATGCGGCTGCTGTTGCTGCTCAAAGTCTTCGAAGAGCTCCAGCAGATCGTCTTCGTGCGCATCGCTCGGATGGTTCAAGCCTTTAGCCAAGGCGCAAAACTCTGGTCACTTGTAGTCACGCGACGTTCTTCTCCGGCGTCCCTCGGTCAGCATGGACTCACCAATGACTGTAAAGGGAATACCATTAGCAAATGGAACTACTCTTTAAGATATTTTCCAAAAATAGCATTTTTAAAACAAAATAGGTTAGCACCATTCAATAATGATTCAATATTTTGCTCACCTGCACTGCGGGTCTTTCGCCTGGCTTCCGCGACGGTCTCCACGGTGCCCGCATTGCTGCCCACTGCTGCTACCGCCTTTGCAGGTGTTGCCTTCGGCTCTGCCGCGGCGGCGGCTGCTGCAGCAGCTGCGACTGCATTGCTGCGACCGTAGATGATCTTGTTGGCCGCCGCACTGGCCCGCACGCTCCTCCGAGTGCCGATCTTCTCGTCAGTAGGCGAGCTGGCATTATTGTTCGTGGCTGCCGCTGCCGTGGCTCCTCGAGTAGCGTGCACTACGTTCGTGGTGCTGTTGGTTTGGCTGGTAGTGGTCACCACAGCTCCGCCTGGCACTGTTGTCGTAGTCACAGAGGTGGACACCACACTGGGATTGTTGGAAGTGCTGCTGTTGTGATTGCTATTGGCGGCAGTGGTGTTTCCAATTGGCACTTGAGCTTTACCAGTCCTCGGGGTTCCAAGTGGAGGAGTGGGTGCAGTAGCATGGTTGCCAGTTGTTTCTGTTGGGAGAATAATGAATTGATTAATCACAAGTTTACTTTTGGAGCTAGAAACTAATCACATTAAGTGCCCCCTTGAAATTGCGATATGCTAAACCTTATCCTAACTTGTTGCCAAATCATGATACAGGTTAGCTACCCCCGGGTTCAAAGTCCACTTACTGTTCTGCGGTGGCTGTAGCTGCTGTGCATTTCGCCGCGTCACGTGCTTTTCCACTGCTGCTGCTGCTGCCGCCGCGTCGGCGGCCTCTACTTGGGCCTGCTTCGAGTTCCGCACCTTGCCGGCCACCTCGATCAGCGGCTCATCCGAATCGGATGACTCGATCTCAATCTTCTTGGGCAATCCTGCACCGGCATTGTGATCCACAGTCGCTTCTGCTGCACTGCTATTGGAGGCGGCGGCGCCACCATTCCCGCTGCTCACCCGCGGACGTTTAATGCTGTTCTCGGCCAAATCGGCGCCATCATTACTGCTGCCGCACTCGGATTCCTGTCGCCGTCGCTTGTTATTGTTGTTGTGATTCGGCGTAGGTGTGACCACTCGAGGACTGGCAGTAGAAGAGGCGCGGGATAGACTCTTGGCAGTGCTGGGCGTGTTGGTTGCCGTTGCCGTCGTGGCTGCTGCTCCAGTGACCACCGTGGGATCGGGACTCGCTTTTGGCGCATCCAGGGGACTCTCTAGACGACTGCTGGCCCGCGTCCTTATCCTCGGCGTTTCACCATCCACCTGAGCAGGTATCTCAATCGAAATGGGCTGCAGGGAGGCTGAATTGGCCTCGCTCTGAGGCTTTTCCTGGACCTTCTCGTCCGACTTCGGCTCGGCTTTCGGTTCAGCTTTCGGTTCCACTTTGGCTTCCACTTTAAGACCACTGCCACCCACCGGTGGCTTGATCGCCGGCTCCTTTTTGATGGTCAGCAGCGGTGGCATCTCCTCCAGCTTCACCTTGGCCGCCGGTTGCTTGCTATCTGTGAGTTTCTTGATGAGATCATCGTGTTCGAGTATATGGTGTTCGCCATTCAACTTGACGCTACTTGTGTTCGTGGTTGCTGTCGCCACAACAGTTGCTACTGTTGCCGCTGGCAGCGAGTTCTCCAGGCTGTTCAGGAAACCACCGCCTGCAGCACTGGCACATTCGCTTGTGTCCTTA